ATTAGTGTCACTAATATTCTCGAGTGATTGTCGTCTTTGCAAAGACTTGTTGTCATTGTTTTTAAAGACAACGATTGGCGAGCAGTTGAGAGGAGCGGAGAGAGAGAGAGAGAGACTATTTTAGATAAAGATTATGTTCTGATAATTAAAGAAAGAAAATATAATTATTTTATTACTTAATGTGTATATTCTATTAGACGTGAAAACTTAATGTTGAAAATTATTTATTTATTTTAATGTATTATAAGAATGTAAATAAACACAAGTAACAAATTATCCCGGTGCCATTTGTTTATCAAGACACAGATTAATTAATTATTAAAATGAATTTTAATTGTTCCTAGAACATAATTTGGTCCGCATCTAGATAAAGAGCATAAAAACTGAAACTTATTTTTAAAACAATTTAATAAATTTAACGATAAAAACGAATATAAAATCTAATATTCTTTATGTTAGAACTTTTTTGCGTAAATTTTACAAATATGATATATCAGAATAAATAATATCAATTTGATATAGAATTTTATGGTTATTAATAACATTAAATCATTTTACATATCGAATTAATAATTTTAAAAAATTAGTTATTTATATATTGTATTGTCATAAAAATAAATTTCAGTATTTGTGCTCTTTATCTAGATGCGGACCATAATTTTTAATTGTAAGAGAAATATATTTAATTAACTAATTATAAATTTGAAATCTATTAATATTTTCAAATGAGAATAAAATTATATTTAATGTAACATTAATAATGTTTTATAACTATATTTCCAATAAAATTCATTATTTTTAATTAAATAAATAAATAAATGGACGAATCATTTATATAATGTATTATAAAGTAATGATTATGAAATGTTAACTTGATTAAATTGGAGATATTTTTATCCCAATGTATTTTTATTAAATATTTATTTTTTTTTTGCAAATAAATAATATTTGAAAATTCAATAAAATGGCAAAAGTCTTGAAAACTAATTTTATTTATTTTAATGACTTTAAAAAATAATTCTTTTAATAGATTTTAAAGTAAAAGCAAAATATATTTTATATCAATTGATTTTACTTCATATCTAATCAATTGTTCAGTAGATGTGAACGAAAAATATGAAATATTTTTATCGATATAAAAGTACAATAAATATTATTAAATAAACAAAACAATGCAAATAGTTTTCTTACGAAATACATTTAAAAAATTGTTTTCAGACTTTTTGTCTGAGTTAACGATGAAAAAGCATAAATAGATTAAAATTATAGATAATTTCAAAACTTGTAATCAGATTTATATATCAATTGACGTAATAATGATGTCTTCATTAGACGTTTGGGAAATATGTGATAAAAATTTGTGGTTTTTAGACAAACTTCTGTCTAAAAATAAAATTATATTCTCGAAAGCGTTGAAGCGTTTTGTTTAGATTAAAGCCAAACGTATATAACTATAATTGATTTCAATAATGAATTTATTAGCTTTGGATCAATAGTTTGCTCTAAAATTACCCCAAAAACTGATGAATTATTTTCATAACTCAATCGCGAGTTTAGTAATAAAGTTAATATTTTTCAAGGTTTTGTCTACAAATTGGTAGAAAATGCTATAAAATGAATGCGAATTTCTCTCTAAATATTCGCATAAATAACACAATTATTCAAAATTTGAAGTCGAAGTGAGAAAACAATTTATTAATAGTCTTTAAGTGAGTGATAGTCACAGTGTATATGCTTTTAAATACAGTGTACAGTATATTATATTTATGTAAACCAGGAATCGCCGGCTCTTTACGAAAAGAGGGGCTCGTATTTGAAGGCATTTCAATGTATTTGAAGGTATTTGAAGGTCGATCGTAGACAAAATCCGGTACTTTGAGTATAACCTATATATTTGGTGTTGTCTTTGTCTTAAGGGACGGCTGGGATCACCCCTTCCCCGGCATTCCCTACCATTTTATATTTGTTTTACACAAAAAAAAACCTTTTAATTTTCACTAAATAAAATTCAAAAATTAAAATAAAATTTAAAACAAAATTCTTGAAACACAAGAGAATCAAAACTTTTTTTAAATTTATAAATACTGTAATTAAATGATTTCAAAATATACAGTAATTTTATTCTTTATGAGATTATCATTGATTTTAATTATCATTTAATTAATTTAAACGATTAAATGAATGATAATTAATAAAAATTTTACGGCCAATGAAACACATATATAAAATAATAAGGTTGATTTACTTGAAATATTTTGTTTTGTCAGTTTAGTAAAAAAAACTGATTAAATTTCTTATGGTTTTTGTTATTATGAATGTTGATTGACCTCTAATTTGATCTATTTTTATGTTTTATTTTTGCCAGAATTTAGATCAAAGTTTAAATTTTCAGTCCATTTGTAGAGAGAAAATGAGACAAAAATTTTGCAGAGATATTTTTCTTGTATTGACGGCACAAATATGCCGTATATTTACAAAACACACATTTTTACTGTCGATTTACTATTGATTCTTATCATTTGTCCTCAATATTCAACTTTTTTCTCTCGTCTCGCAAAATATCAGTTAAAATCGTGGAGTCGTTTATAAAGTGTAATCAATGCTATCATTACTTTAGAAAAAATTGTATTTTAAATTCATTTTTTTCTTAAAATCCTATTAGAAATTAACGCAATGTTATTGATTAGGAAATGATTTAGAAAATACTCTTGTGTTTAAATTACTTCCAGTTATTGACAATAAGTTATTGTATACTTTGTATTGAAGTATTGAATGAGAGTATTGTTATAATAATAACTCTTACTAATAATAATTGACTTCTGTCTGGATTTTATTTTATTTGTAAAGATTTTTCAATTTAAATGTGAATTTTATTTAAAGATATGACAAAAATATCTTTGAATTTGTATTAATAGTAATATTTCCTAAAAAGTAAATGATTTGAAAGGGTTTACTTAAAAAATAGTACATTTTTCAAACATTTCAAAGCTTTTAATAAGACATTTCATACATTAATCGCTGAATAACCCAATTATTTGGTTTGAATTTAATTCATTTTTAATGAAATTAAGTCCTATTAACGTATAAATTATTGTAATCATTAAATTAATATTTAAATTATTGCAAATCAATCATTTCAAATGAATAAATAAATTGTTTATCATTTTAAATTTTTGATTAACTTTATAAGTTATAAATTATAACCATTTACTCTATTTGTAAAAATGAAAAGTGTTTCACTTTAATATTATTTGAATTAAGTGGACTTTAACTTAAAAATACATATATTTTACACATAAAACAGTTATATTGATATTTAAATTTACAATTTCTTATCTGAAACTATCAATAATTTATTACTCTTTAAAAATAAATTAGTTTTAAGGAAGAAATTAAATTAAATTAAAGCCGAAATACAAAAATTAATTTCAAAAGAAAAAAATGAATTTCCTTTTCAATAATAGATTAGATGTTATTTTTCCTATAATTAAATTACCAATATTTATGTGAAAATTGCAAAAATTATTTTTCTTATCACTTTATTGTTGTTTTTAATACTGTATACTTGATAAATGTTTAAGACGTGAAAATTGCTTTTTATTATAAGATTATTATTACTATTAAAGTTCTTATAGTTATAGACATTGAAGTCCATTAAAACTCATATCATTACTACATTTGTACATAAATTTTCATTAATTTTATGGCATTTATAACCGAATTAACGATACTTTCCATTTGACTGAAAGTCAAAAAGCGTTTACAGACCTAAACACATATTCCTGTAATTTATTCTGTAATCAAAATACAAAAATTGAATGAAAGGTTAGGAAAATAATAAAAAAGTTTTCGTTTTTAAAGATCGATGGATTCAAACATTTAAAAAGCAGTGATTTTCTGCCAAAAATTGAGGTCAAAAAAAGTATTTTCATCAAAAGATTAATGACTTTTTGTTGGTTAAGAGTATCAAAAACCCCGACTCAAAGAGTGATCTTGAATTTTGAAGCGAAAACTCTTTTACTGTTAATCATATAAATATTTCTTATAAATATCTATATCTAATGTTTGATATCCAGTGGAAAGTAGAGCGCATTTATTCGACAGCCAAGAAAAAGGGTTAACACAACAGCTATTTGTGTACAAAACATGACTGACTTCACAATAAAAAGCAATAATTTATTAATTAGTTTTCTCTCTCCTATCGATCCATCAATTCTTGTTTATTTACTTATATTTTTATCGATAAAATACATTGTATTTAGAGGTCAGACACAAAAAACAATACAAATCTCTTTTTTGATGGCATTCAATGATGTGAACGAACGCTATCTTTATATAACTCTATTCCTAATGGGATTCACAACTCTTTTCTCTTCTCTTTCTTTCTATTGTCTGTGAATTTCAATTTTCATCACATCTACCGATCGATTAGATAAGACGTTGGCTTTCATATTGTTATGTATTTTATTATTACTTTTCTCTCAAACCAAATATAGTGTTAATTAATTAAAAATATAATTATTTTTCTTACAATTAAACATTAAATAAAAATAATAAAAATCATTACAAATATAAAAACAAAAATGACTTTTGGCTTTAAGTAAACAACAGATTTAAGATTTACATTAAAAAATTAATTAATAATATTATTAATAATTTATTTCATTTAAAAAACATTAAAGATATTTATGATATAACTTATTAATATTGCGGTTGAATAACAAACGGGTATTAAGAAAAATATAACATATTATCCTCTCATTAAACAAACAATTTATAAATATATTGATAGCTATTTGTATGGTTGGCTCAAGTGGTGAGTGTCATCACCGGCACCGTTGCAACTTTGGTTCACGTCGTTGACAATCATAGTTGCGATCTTCCACGCGATCTCCTCCTTGTCTTTGTCGGCAGTCGAGTGCAGCGAAAACTTCTTCATTACTTTGACGAGAGCTCCGGTGTGTCGTTGAGGTTCGGGCTCTAAAGCACTCCAAATGCGGCCGTATTTGTCCACATGAGTGAACTGTAATTTCCCGCTCAGGTCTCGCTTCCAGAGGGAGTCGTGTCTGTGTTCTTCGTTCACGTGATTGGACTGCCGGTGCTTAGAGGCGACCGCCGGCGAGTGGCCACATGTGGTGGTCGTCGTCGTCGAACACTCGGTATCTCTTGTGCTCAAAGAGCTCACAAAACTACAGTCACTCGTATAACTGCTATCACTATTAGTCCGTTTGTGTGTCTTATGGTGTGATTCCGTTTGAATCGTTTGAAAACAATTGTTTAAATACTCGATAAAGAATTGGCTTTCGATGAACTGCTTTAAGTATGTCTTCTCGAAGTATTGGATAAGAATAGCGGCCGAAGAGTCCAAACAATCGCAATTAAAATTGTTTTTCACTAACTTTTGGTTCAAACCCATGACATGGCTATCACTGAATCCGAGCCTATTGTCGGTGTTGTCTCTGAAGAAGCGGTTGAACAGAGAGATGGCGTCGTCGTAATCGTTGGACACTTTGCGGTACTTTTCAAACATAATGAGAAAATCGACGAACGCTTTCATGCCTTCGCTTTCCATGAATTCAATGAAATTTGTGGCTAAAAGTGTGTCATTGAAGAGAATGTCGGCTAATGTGACCGAATCGGTGGTCAAGTAGTCGATCGAAAACTTGCAATAATAGGAGCTCTTGAGGAACGGCTCGTAATACAGCGCTTCCATGCGTTCGATGGCGTACTTCTGTGCGCTTCCAAACAGATCACAGCTCACATCAGATCCTCTGTTAAACAGTTTCTCTTTAATCTCGTCCTTCAGCTCTTGAGGAATGTCGACGAAATGAGGCGACGATTCCGATAAGTATTTGTCGTAAACGCCAATCGAGTCGGCGATGAATTGGCGCCTAATGTCGTCCAATGACTGATCACTTGAGCTCACGTTTGAGGCGATATTCTTTTGGGACACAATAAGACACTCGGTTTGAATCCAGAAACGGATCAAATGTTTGCTAACGTTTCCCAAAGACTCCATGTATTGAATGAAATACGGAAACACAGTGTTGTCCGATAGGATGTCCCGTAGGCTCTGATTGAAGCGACTCTTGAGCTGAAGTGATAGTGAGTGGTCGACCATAGACTCGGCCAAAAGCATCTGATGGACGGGTTTCACGTTTCGGTGCGAATGGAGTCCCGATATCGTCGATATGGACGCCATTCGGGCGCCAGACCTGACCGCCGATGACTTTGGCACTGGTGTTGTGGTCGGCGAGTAATAATCATCGCTCGTCGACTGATCCCACGATAAACCGTTGGATACTTTGTTGCCATCGATGGACACATCGGAAGAAGAGCTGTTCATCGACAGCATCGACGCCAGCGAAGGGTTCCTCGTCTCCGCTGTTTAATCGGTGACCAAATCATTAGTGAATCAATTCAAGTGATAATTATCTCGTAATGTATTGTATATAAAATGCAAACCTTTTTTCCGTCTAAAAAATGACATAATTTTTAGTTTGATTTCAAATTAAATGCAAAAATCATTTCTCAACCAAAATATGATTAAAATTTGGTTCAATTTTAGAGAAATAAGTTAATTATCGGACAATTATTAGGCAAACAATTAAATAATTATTGATTTTGTTATTCATTTCATATGTATATTAAAAATGTGCTCAAAATTGTTGAATAAAATGCTATTAAAAATGAATAAAACATTTTGTGTTTTGATATTTGATTCACAAATGAATTAAATTTAATGTATTTTTGAGTCAATCATAAGAAGGCGTTCATTGAATGCATAAACAAAACATTACGTTATTATTGGTTTCACTCGCGATTTGGTTCAACTCTTTTCTCGTATTAAAACTTTTTTTTAATTAATTTTAAACACAATTAAATACGTGTGAATTGTTATAAAAATTTGTAGTTTTAATGTTATTTATTTGATTAGTTATTAATTAAGTCATATGTAATCCTATGCCTAAAGAATTTACATAAAGTATAAACCACTTGGCGTTTGGGTATATTTTGTTAACTTTTTCGTTTAAAACTTTTTTCATTAGGTTTTTAAACTTTAAAATCAATTTATTTATTCAGTTGTGAGGCACTCATCGATCAGAAAATAAATTGTCAATAGTTTGCATATTTTCATAAGAATTTATGCAACTTTTATAGAAATTAATAAAATATAAAGTAAATAGAGATGTAATTTAATAGACGTGAAAATATCAATCGTTTTATTCAAGGATTAAGTCATTCCAATACAAAAACTTTGCAAAATATATAAATATTGTGAAAATATAGACTTTCATGTCGGTAATAAATATAAAATTTAAAAATTTCATTGCATTTGTAAACTAATTGAATATCTTATGTATAAATATATAGAAACGGTGATCAAAATTGAGAGCAAATTAAGTTTAAAGTTTTGATGATTATAATAATAAGTTGTATAGAAATTAAAGCTTTTCAAGCATTCATTGGTAAACAATAAAAAACAAAATAATTAGAAATTTTCATTCCAACAGTCAATTCACTTTAGATATGTATCGATAGATTTGATGAGCAAATGCTTAACTAAATCGATGATCACTAATAGTGGAGACAAAAGTGTTTCCAATAAGTGATGGCTAAGACTTATGAGGCGTTGTCCGCCCCTTGAAATGCCTCGTGTGGTCGGGTAATCAAGCATTGGGTCGGGTTCTCGGGGTTTATGTAATGGTCTTTATTGGCGATATTAAAGATAATGGCAAAACCCATGAGCAGAATGTAGACCACGAGCACAACATAACCGAGTATTGTCTCCCACTTCTTGGGGCGAAGATTTTTCAAAACATTAATGCCAACAAAAAATCCGGCCAACGCTCCCGCGATGTGCGCTGAATAACTGGTGCGGTTGTCCTTATCATCGGTATATCGACCATAAATAGCGACACCGATATCAGTGCCACCGAAGAGCAAAAGGCCGGCCAAACGGATCCAATTGAATTCCATTTCTTTCCAATTCTACATAAATATCACAAATTATTAATTGATTTAATTGTGAATTTCAATGATAACATACGATGACAACACTGGCTAAATGGGCTGATATAAGGGCGTAGACACCACCGCTGGCACCGGCCAGGAAACTGTACGGATCGCTGATATTTGCGCCCAGACTTCCGGCCACTGTATATAAAAAAACTTAATTCTAATCATAGGGGAAATGGAGTGAAGCGTACGAACCGACTCCGGACAGGTATACGATGCCAACTCTCCACCACTTGTGCACCATTTCTAATGGTATGCCGAGAATGAGTTGAACCAATACATTGAAGAACATGTGGACGAATCCGGCGTGGATTAGCATATAGGTGACGAACCTCCACGCCTGCTCGCGTTTGCACGGGTCGTAGATAAGAGGGCTCCTCCACGGCACCGGACCTATCGCTGAGATCTGTCCCATATCTACGCAATAGTACACGAATACTGAGATCTCCAATACGCTGATCACCAGAAGGAACAGCGGCGGTGGCATACCTTCACAGACAAAGACATTACAAATACATCATTTAGTGTTTCATTTAATAGATAAATAGATTTTATTCAAAAGTATGTCTTCGTCTAAATGTCTCATTACAGTTATATTCTTCCAGATATCTGCGAATAACAGACCGGCGCTGCGTTTTGGGCACCACAGCCATCGCCGCGTATCGGATCAATCTCTGTAGGCGTGGCCTCTGAGCCCCTAAATCTCTGGCGTGAATCTGCGGACAATTAGTGTCAATGAAAAGTTTAATAAATTTGTCGTTCACATGACATACCATTTTCAAGAACTCCTCGTAAGTAATGACACCATCGGTACATAAATCGGACCGTTCGAGCAGTTCGTCCAACACTTCTTCGGGTATGTCTTCACTCAAGTGGTTATTACTCTCCTTAAGGATGCGTTTAAAGTGATGGCATTCAATGATACCATCTTTGTTGGTGTCGTATTTGTCAAACACCGGACGCCATAACTGATCCATACGTAAGAAAGTGGATGTCATTAATGATGGTATTAGTTATAGATATGATAAATAAGGCAATCAATGGCTATCACATACTCTGTCCATCTGAAGACTGACGGCCTGTTGATCATCACCGCCGGCGACACTTCCGTCCGTCACATTCACCCGCTTTTTCACCATTTTTTGTCCGCAAATCTCTTGGTTTTGATCGCAAACTGAATTGAAATAATGATTTTGAATACAAAACACAATCGAAAGTGAATTGAGTGTCAAATGAGCGGTGAATTCAATAATGAATTGCAATTAAAAGGCAATGAATTGAATGAATGAGTGATTCATTCACTCAAAACACTTCCCAATGAGTGATAACAACGGCTTTTCAGTCAATACAAGTCATGACAACAACACTATTACAGTGAGTGTGGACTCAAACACAACACAAATAACTCAACACTTTATGCCATAAAACATATCATTATTTCTT